GATGAGGATCATTCTAGAAAGAAAGCCATCACCGAAGGGTATGCTTTATGGCTGTAAGCCAAGGCTGGTAAAATTGCTCGCAGATTCAAGCAGAGTGCAATAAGGGAGGCAATATCCGGTGAAACTACAACTTCTTCATAGCATCAGCTCCTAAATCCACGGGAATGGATTCACTTGGATTACTTTGGTCCACAATAATGGTATGTCTTTCAGAACGTTTTCAATGTCGCCTCAAAAAGGTCAGAGGCATTTGGGGTTAGCCGGCTCCGACTTTAGAAACTGTGTCTAGTCTAGGCGGCCTGGGGTTTATTTATTAGATAATGGACCCTATTTCTTCACTTTTCAGGGAGTTTAACCTATCATCTTTAGTCCCACAATTGAGAAAAGGATTTGTCATAACCCTTAAAAGAGATATATGCAGTCGAAAAGCGGACGCAACTTTAAGGAAACCTTAAGCTTTCTTTCGAGCGTACCCAGGAAATTGGCAACATGTAAAACTATCATCCATCAAGTTGTTCCTAGAAAGACTTACGTACTTATTTTTGAAAGGAAGGCTACTCGCAAAACATAGTTTTAAGAATGACCGGTTGATAGAAGAACGATATGGGGCTACTTCACTTTACCTCACCGTTAGGTCTGCGTGGATTATTTTGCGTAGATCAAGTGAAACGCTGCTCCCATTATCCGTGCAAAGCACGGAAAATGCATACATATACACGCACATCTATACCCATACGAAGAGTCACCTGCGAAGTGATTTCAAACGGGCTGGAAGAGTTAGGTGCTGGGGGTCGTCTTATAATTCAAAATGCTGGTGACTACACAACAAGTATACTGTACTATACACCATCCGAAGTCCCGACCTCCGGGTGTGACACAGATAGCTACCACAATAGACTTCATGGGATGCACAATTTCAGTACATCAGTTAAAATTACCTAGAAGCCTCACCTCTCTTCCCATTATATCCACCTGCATGCTGACACTGGTTAGCAAACCACTAAAAAAGAAAACGTTGCTTTAGCGGTCTCCCCACCCCTCAAGAATCACCTGCCCATACGCTCCAGGCTATCCATAAAATATCTGTTATCAAGCCTTGTTTCTGGCATCACATGGAATATCCAAAGTTTCATCAGGAATTTTTTCCGGAAAAAAAGTTTATGTTTTGCGCCCATGTGACTGATCAGCCTATTCCGTTGTTTGACGCAACCGTGGTCGTTTCTGGTAAGCATAATTCCATCTTCCTAATTGATTTCCTTGTTGTTCTGGCCATCATCTTGTATCGCGTGAGTTTATATCACATCCAGTGCTGAGGCAGTCCCACCACACCTAAGCCATCTTTTATAAGCCGAGAGGATAAAGGTTGTATACAAGCCACAAAATCTAAATGCGGAAAACGGGAGAAAGACCTACGGTGCTGGTGAGAGAACACGCCTCTAGGCATACGCTGAACCGTCTGAAGCAGTTTATTAACGATCACTCTGTATTTGGCTGAAATTTCGCTTCTTGTGTTGCCAAGAGTCAGAATGACTTTTGGCATCAGGATGACACTTCTACAGTTCATAAAATCACTGCAATTAACGGGGGACATCGTAGTCAAGCTATCATGAAGTTTTATGCAACAATTTGGGAGAGGTCTCTATCCAGAGGTCCTGACTCACGGGGTTCTGTTATGAACGGTTGCCTTTCAGTGAGACTCTAAACACTGAGTTTCTGCTACCGATTCATACGGTTTTATTCCTTACTTAAATGACGCATACCGCGGTTGACAACTGCATTCGATAGAGTACCATCCCACAAAATCTCTCTTCTTGATTGGACGCCATCAGGATGATTATAATGGAATTTATACTAGGTCGGAGTGAAATATCGTCGAAATCAAACGTACTAGGACAAAAGGTCAGTGTGACACCATTGCACTAGATTGAATGTTGACCATCTGAAATTCATGATAATGTGAATTCAAGCAATCTGATCCTACAATCATGCATAAGTTAAGAACAGTATTCCCATAAAGTTTTAGTAGAAATTCTCCGGCTGTATCCTCTGTCTTATGACCAGGCAGACAGAATTAATTAAGCAGACGATACAATTGGTACTGTGTCCAATTCGTAGGTCCGGTTTATTGACAGTCAGCTAGGTACACTTTGGTCTGTTCGCTAAGCTTAGCGATTAGTTTGCAAGCCACCGCTTTAACGCTAGAAAGCCATCTTTATCCACACTGACTGTTCCATTTAAGCATTTCGACCGTGCATAATCATGCAGACTGTGTTCCACTTTGTCCAGCATGGCTACCCGCTCCCCACCGATACCGACGCGAATTCGTGTGGAATTTAACGAATTCAAATTCTAGCATTGGAGATTCACATCGAGTTTTATTCTGCCAACCAATTTTACATTCCCCGTACAATGAATTCATGATTTATCATTTGGACAACAAAGTTAACTAAACAGAAAATGTGTAGTGACGGTCCGCAATTTCAAGGACTGATCAGAGCGGTGTTTTAATTTGGCGGTTGATTCAAGTCGATCATTGCTGGACTAGACGACAAAATATCTCATGAGGTAAATAAACGTTTAAATAATATTGCTGTATCTTTTAGCATTTTTGGTTTTGCTAAGAGTTGTATGTAAGAGCTTTGAGAGTTTTTCAGGGGAAAACAACTCCAGTACATTAGACCCTGAGTAACATACGTTTATGCCAGTTCGGTATGTCCCGACATGGAAGAAACTATTTGATTGGCTGTGCATTCCAGCACCCAACCTCTCGCATTCTGTTTAGATGTAGCGTTTTCGTATTTGACGAAATTGTTTCCCCCAAAAAGTACAAAGTAGGGCGTCAATGTGTGGTCTCTGTGTCTATGTGGCTTTGTAAAAAATCAGCGTCAAGCGTTGCTCATTACTGTGGGGATTTAGTTTCGTGAATACCGTGAGTAGTGTGCGATCGCGTCGCGGATGACTTGCTTAAAAATTAGGTCACGTGAATAGCTCATCTAGGCCAATTTTCTATTCATTGGTGGTTGACTTACTAATCGACTTCGACATGTAATTTGTAAGCTTTTTCTCACCATTAGCGGAGGTGTGATCAGTGCGTTCTTTATGTCTACTCGATCAGTTTGTCTGCAGGTTTCCCATTCAATTTCAGTAGTATACCTATGGGTAAATCATACTGATATTCTACTATCTGATTGAGTGGGGCATCTTCTACGAAATAAGTACACCTATTGAACCCACACCGGGAAGTGTTCTCGCTGAAAATAGTTCTTGGAAAAGCTATGAATTAGTGGTGCAAAAAACGGGTTGAATCTCCACGAAACAAAAGGTCATTTGGGAACATATGGGATCATGCATACACAAAACTACAAAATACCATATTTGTGTTCTCGAAAAGGAATTCTGTCGCCCGTGGGCTTCATTCGGTTGTCAATTGCATTAAAGTCAAACATTAAGTTGTGAAAATGTAAGTGATGTTCTGATTTGTGCTTCAAGCAATCCATCTATAACCGGTCCTTGTCCTTCTCGGACTTGAACTGAAGTGGAAGTAGATATGTGTTTTATCGTTACAATAATAACTAACACGTTGGAATGTTTCTCTGGTTGCAGAATTATGAAAACACGCGTTGCCATTGGTGTTCACGTCACAAAACAATGTTATTTATTTTGACGACAAATTTTGCATACCAGTCGGAATAAGAAATCAGTTGCGGTAACGAAAAATCGTTTTTGGCCAAGCAGAGAGATAATTCCTCGGTGTATTTTAAAAGTAAAATATGTAATGTAATTATTGTATGTAATATGTGTAATGTAATTTCATTTCATTTCTAGGGTTCAAATTCTGAGTTTTTTCGCCTAACTAAACGAGCCGGTGGGTTCCAGAATCAAGTTAGAGAATGCCTTCATTTCTTTATACGTGCGCAGTATCGGTCTAGCTCCCCCTTTATTTCTGCATAACTTTGACGCTCCATGATTATATTAAATCTGATGTTATCTAAAGGCTTCCATCACAGTGCATGGCTGTTTACGGCAGAACACGTTCATTAGGGGAGAGAATATATTCAACGACGAAGACTGACGCCTCAGTCAATTTGCTGTTTAAACTCCATCGTTTAGTTACAGGCATCAAGAATAATCTGTATGCTGTGACCGGGAGCACTGTTCTAGCTGCTCAGCTACCCTGCCATTTCCTACCCAAACAGGGCCACTCGAAAAGCATGACGCATGACTTTCCCAAATCCCTCTCACACGACATAAAACCATTCACGCGCGGTTCCCATAAAACTGCCTTTGGTAGAACGGGATGGAGCTTACCTTGGCCAGCCTCGACACATGTGGCTCGTTTCGGGACCCTACTGACTGACAACTCGACCATAATTCCAAAGCATCCATTATCCTTTTACTGCATTTGTAGTCCACCAGGTTAATTAAC